CGCCAAGAACCTCAACGGAATGGGATTGACCCCGGTACCCTTTCCCCTTACCTAGGAACCAGTAGGCCTGTGGGAAGAATCCCAAAGGCCAAAAAGAGGAAGGGAATAAGGGAAGGATAGGGGGGGGGGAAGGAAAGGAAAAAGGGAGGATGGGATAAGGAAGGGGGGATTGGGGGGTCATTAGGTTCGGTCTGAGGAAGGAGACCAACAGGTCTAATTCCTCAGACCAAGAGCCTCTTCACCACGCCAAGGAGCCTCCCTTGAAGAGGAAATAATGATAAAAAGGCTATAGATGAGACTGACACATGCCAGGGACTGTGATAGTGGCAAACACCAAAAATTTATTTTTTAAATTTTTATTAAAAAATAAAAATTATATTAAAATTTTTGTATCAACAAAGTTTCTGAAACTGTTTTTAGTATGACTTTCTAAGGTATCAAGATGGTACTCTACTGTATGAAGGATAAATAAAGCCAGGAATATGTAGATGAAGCATTGAGTAGATCACTGTTTAAAATTTCATATACTGTGAAAATTACATGGTCAAAAATCATTTAATATACTGTATATTACTACAGAATATGAAATACTGACAAAATATTAAATTTAAGAAATCCATTGCTTAAAAGCACTTAGGCAGATAAATATTAGTAAGTGATTCAATAATCTTGAAGTCAAATTATCAAATCCTTCATGCATTTTAACTTGAAAGAGTTTACATGCCATCACAATTTTTCTCAAAAGTTAAATAGCCTTGTATACAGCATCCATGAAAAAATATAGATTCTATAATAACAAGGTAACATCAATAAGCTAATGAGAAAACGGTAAAAGTATGCTACAGTATTTTAGAGAATCACACCACAAACTACTATTGAATTATTAAAACAAAATGGAAATGCAATCATCTTCTGGCAATGATTTTTTTTTCTATCCTTTGTAAGCCCTTCAAGGCTGATGGATCTTTGTAGAGTTGTGGGCAGTTCACAAATATCCTCAGTGCAGTAGTACATTATTTCATTTTACCTACATTTACCTATGACATTCAATTTTTTTTTTTTTAAGTCACAACCTGGCCCCAAGCCAGGAGAAAGAGTGCTGTACAAAATCATGGGACTATCCACAAATAAGCCGAGTGTCAAAGGTATCGGTGAGCTTTTGTCTGTGACTACTAAACATTACGTATCTTGATTGTTGAAAGTTATATTATTCAACAAAATTTACATCCTAGAATCCTATTATAATATTAAACACATTTTTTTTAATCATAAAATTTGTCAAATAACTATTATTAACAAACTTAGTAAAGGTAATACCATATACACAGTTATGGTAATTTTTAAATTTACTAGGTCAACTTATCAAATTTGTAAAAAATACCTTTAAGTTTTATAACATAGTGAAAAAGACAATTGTATACTTGAATTATATTGTCTTTCATATTATTATTAAATGTTTGTTTCGGGTAGCCATATCTTTCACATATAAAAAAAAATTTTTAGTTTCCTTAATACTTCCACAAATCATTTAGGTTACCTATTTATTTTACACTTACTCATAATCATATAAATAAAGACAACCTCAAATTCCTGATGCCTTTGAATGATGTTTGCATCAACTCTAAAATGCTATCTCAATGTTTTTTCCTATTATCTATAATAATTCAAATCATATCATTAAATACCACAATATAGTTTATAGTCTGTTTACATTACATAAATAGCAGTATACAAGAGTTAAGACATAACTTGAAGTGTGGCTAAAATATTGGCATATTAATTAAAAAAAACTACACATAAGCAACTATTTGACAAGCAATGCTTTATTCATCCAACCAGGCACCAGGAGAAATGTTGCTGTAAAATCATGGGACAATTGCGATAATCGAGGACAAAGTATCGTGATTTTGTCTGGACTACAAAAATCGTTTCTTGATTGTTGAATAGTAATATTATTCACAAAATTTACCTGAGAATCCTATTATAAAATTAACCTTTTTTTTAATCAAAATTTGTCAAATAACTATTTTAAAAAACTTATAAAGTAATTCATAACATTTAAATTAAATTCTAGATACCTTATCAATTTGTAAAAATTTTATTTTTTTTTATAACAAGGAAAAAGACAATTGTACTTGAATTAATATCTTTCCATATTATTATTAGAAGTCTTGCTCAGTAGGCCATACTTTCACATAAAAAAAGAATTTTATTTCACTTAATGACTTCCCCACAAATTAGGTTACCTATTTATTTTACACTACTCATAATCAGGATAAAGTACAACCTCAAATTCCCTGATCCTTTTAATATGTTTGCATCACACTCAAAATGCTATCTCAAGTTTTATCCTGTTTCTCATATTCAAATCAAATCACTTAAATCCACAATATATGTTATCAGTTCTGTTTACATTACAAATATGCCTATACACCTTAAGACTAACCTGATGCTAGCTAAAAATATTTATGGCATTTTTAATTACAAGATAAACAAATCAACAAAGCAACCTTTTGTAAATCCAAGTGCCTTGATTCATTCCTCCTTTTTCAAGTGTTTTGGCATTTAGGTAATTTGACCATCTCAGATGCGAAAAAAAATTACATGTCTGATATAAACTCCACTCCCCAAGTTAATACAGTTTCTGAAATGAGCTTTCTCTGTGTAATTTATAGGAACTGCAGAACCTGAAAATGTCTGCATTACGGTAAAATTATTTCTGTACACACTTTAAACTGGAAAAGTTCTAATCTCCAGAAACATAAATACAGATGTTGATGATTTTTGAATAACAATTCTACGATTCACCTACTTTGGAATGAGAACCTATTAGAAAGCACAAATATGACTAGCAAAATGTGGAAGCAGATACTTTTTATCTTTGTGGCAGACACCAATAGAAACACTAGTCATGGCTTTATGTAAACTTTTGTGGATGATACCAATATAAGTTGCAACATCTGGCTCTGGTAACATGGGGCCAATATTTTCTGTAGCTTTTCATTAGTTTACCTCTGATCATTTTCAAGGCTTTTACTCTTCTAGCACAGCCTAAGGCCAGGCTTCCTTATTGATCACATTATCTGAGAGGTTATTTCTGTCTACAGCCTACACAGATAGTACTACCTGGTTGACCTGGCACATACTGCATGAAATTTCCAAGATTCCTTGTCAAAACTTCTACTCTACTTTTGTTCCCAAAATACCGTATTTGCTGGTAAGACTGAATTCAAGCACATCTCCTATTGGCACCCATAATTTTGAAATTAGGTTTATTCTGCTTCATCCCCTCACCCCATTAATCTGGTGTTTTCATATGTAGATTAGGGACTTAGCCTTCAATTCAAATAACAATAGAATTCCTATATATTTTACCTGTTCTTGCTTGCCTATGAAGAGATCTGACCGTTTTGACTCCTCTACAGGCGGACCCTGCTTTACATCGCTTTGCTTTAAAGTATTTCACTAACGCAATGGTTTTTAATTATAACTATTCTCCATTTATTCAGACTTCCTACAATATACACCTACCATCTGACTTACGACCTGCTCGACTTACGACCATGTTTTTTTTGCCAAATTTCTGGGAAATAAACAACTATTTGTGTTGTATACAGTGTTTATCCTAAACCTTACAGTATAAAATACAGTACTAACAGCATAAAAAGTAAAGTAAAACATGAAATACCAAAATTATTTTTTAATAAAAAAAAATATCACACTGGCCGATTCCCACCAAGGCAGGGTGGCCAATTTGTAGAGTGTCTGCAAAATATGAGTTTCCTCTTTCGCTGTGGTCAAGTGAACATGAATGGGATGGCCCAGTACCAGAGGTGGGTTTTCAGCACTATTTCTGGTATCCTGGGCAATGTTTTTGGTCACAAACTCCTCAAAACCATGAGATTCATCTTCATCGACACTTCAGTCTGTGTTAGAACTATCACTCAGTTCGCCAGGGAGTGAGATATTCCTTATTGCTAGGCTTGGTGACCAAGGCATACTGAATTACCACTCCCACAATGTACTGCGGCCTCTCCGATCTTTTTTATACTGTGCACACTGACCACGCAGACCCATTCTCTCGCATGTAGGTCTACCAGCTTTCTTCCACTAGATTTGAGCCGCTAGAATTTTGGCGTAATATTACGGCACCAACACTGACCCATAGTACTACGGCACCAACAGTGAAAGGGTTAAGATACCATCACTGACATCACCTCTCACAGTTATGTTGGTGACAACTGTTTAAAACTTAGCTAGGGACCTTGGTGTAACCACGTGAAAAGCTTTTGGTTTAGTTCAGATAAGTGTTACTCTTCCAAATAACTAGCCATGGGATTAAACACATTTTATAGGGTTGGATATTCAGAATGTAACTAGTTAAGTTACATAACCTCAATTATTTTTTTTTTCAACACACTTGCCCTCTCCCACAGAGGCAGGATGACCAAAAAAAAAAAAAAAAAAGAGAAACACTTTCACCATCATTCACACACAATCACTGTCTTTGCAGAGGCGTGCAGATATGACAGTTCAAATGTCACTCCAAACAGAAAATATCCCAAATCCCTCCTTTAAAGTGTAGCATTGTAGTTCCCACCTCCATGACTCAAGTCCTGCTGACCAGTTTCCCTGAATCCCTTCACAAAATATTACCCTGCTCACACTCCAACACTCATAAAGTCCCAAAAACCACTCATCTCCACTCACTCCTATCTAACATGCTCACATATGCCTGCTGTATGTCCAAGCTCCTTGCACACAAAGCCTCTTTTACCACCTCCCTCCATCCTCTCCTAGGATGACCCCTACCCCTCCTTCCCTCCACTACAGATTTATATACCCTCCAAGTCATCCTATTTTGCTCCAACCTCTCTAAATGACCAAACCACCTCAACAATCCCTCCTCAGCCCTCTGAATAATACTTTTAGTAACTCCACATCTCCTAATATAAATAAATATATATTTAAATATTAAAGAAAAAATAAAAGTTACTTACGTATTGATGCATCTGACATAATGACCATGCAGTATGTGTTGGAGGTGAAAATATCAATGAAGGCAGCAAAGTTGGAGTTGCGAACTTCCATGCTTTGAAAGTGTGCAGCTAACTTGCTGTAAGACAGTAAATTAGGTAATATTATTTCTCTAGTATAATAATTACTGTATCTATCTGGTATTTGGGCTAACACAAGCACACTAAACTTCACAAAAGGCAACAACTTTTATCAAAATAAATAAGCAATAAATTTTTAAGATATTACTCATTTCAGATTGACAAGTCAAGTCACTCAAGATCACCAAAATGCTTTAGATTTTACAGTGTCAGATGCCATATAAAGATAAAACCACCAAAAAGACAAAGAATGTTCTCTCTCTTCTTCCACTGATATGTCATCTTTGCATAAACGTGGTTCAAATTCAAAAAGCTTGATTAGAATCACAGAATATACAACATAAGACTAAACCTTTGATATAATGGACTAAAAGGGGGATTCTCCAAGCATCTATTAAATCAGACTGTTTAAAAAATCACAGAAAAAACACTACTCTACCATACACTATACCTAATATAGTACTGTACACACAATTTACAAATACCACAATAAACATTGAAATTAAACGAGATGAAACCACAATCTACCCACTGGATATTGTCTGGCATTTCAGAAGTCTGTTACAATGAGGGTTTGCTATGCAATGAATATCCTTCTGTTTATACAGGCAAGATTACAAGATTTTAAAATATGGAGCCCAGCAGTTATTACACAAATAACCCACACACAGGAAAAAGAAATTTATGATGATGTTTCAGTCTTGCAACCTAATAAAAACAATGTATAAACTATCACGGACAGGATAAGCAATCCTCATCATGCCTAGACAAATCACAAAGCCTCTTGGCAAACCATAAGCTGTGAACTCCTGTTGCCTACAATAAGCCCAAACTCCTATTTGCAAAAGAAAATCCAAATGAAGGATGAAAAGATCAGTGCTTACTTGAGGGAAGTATCACATACCCTGGGGATCTTGGTAAAGTTTACACTGTGCACATTGTACTGAAGTCCAAAGCACCCAATAAGCCAGATGACCAGTTTGGCCCTCGTCTGTTTCAGGATAAATTGGTCATTAAAGCTGTAATACAGCTATATGGGAAGCTCCTGGTATTGCTGAATCATAATCAGCTGATATTATGGGCCCCAACTCATACTAATGGCAGAAAGAAACCTGAGGATACTAAACTCCTTAAGTGAAATGCTACATGCCTTGGGGTTTACTGTAATTTTTACAGCGAGCATACTCGCATGCCACTCTTTGTATAAAGATTAATCATCATACAGAGCCAAAACAGGACACAGACTAAAGCTACCCAAAAAAACAGAAAACAAATCTTCCAAATAATGGGTATGTACTATTATTACTACTCTACTGTGTGTAGGAGGAATTCCAACTTAATACAAAGAATACCAAAATCCTTAATGCAAAATGCTCCTTGCCCTGCATGTCTACCTAATAATATCAAGTGTACACTTGCCACCTGAAACAAGGCATCAGGTAAGAACTCTTTAAAATAATATCATTATTCTAGCCCCAAGTAGAGTAATATGGGTTTGGAATTAGTAAACACAAATGCAACCTCGATGACCACTTTGGACCAAGTAACAAAGGTGATGACATTTTTTAACATTCTTACTCCTATTCATAATTTTTTTTCAACAAACTGGCTGTATCCCATCATGGCTGGGTGACCCAAAAAGAAAAACGAAAGCTTTTCTTTTGAAATTTAGTAATTTTTACAGGAGGAGTTACTAGCCCCTTGCTCCCATATTCATAAATTTTTCTATTTATTATCGGGCCACCAAGGCAGGGTGGCCCGAAAAAGAAAAACTTTCACCATCATTCACTCCATCACTGTCTTGCCAGAAGGGTGCTTTACACTACAGTTTTTAAACTGCAATATTAACACCCCTCCTTCAGAGTGCAGGCACTGTACTTCCCATCTCCAGGACTCAAGTCCGGCCTGCCGGTTTCCCTGAACCCCTTCACAAATGTTACTTTGCTCACACTCCAACAGCACGTCAAGTATTAAAAACCATTTGTCTCCATTTACTCCTATCAAACATGCTCACGCATGCCTGCTGGAAGTCCAAGCCCCTCACACACAAAACCTCCTTTACCCCCTCCCTCCAACCTTTCCTAGGCCGACCCCTACCCCGCCTTCCTTCCACTACAGACTGATACACTCTTGAAGTCACTCTGTTTCGCTCCATTCTCTCTACATGTCCGAACCACCTCAACAACCCTTCCTCAGCCCTCTGGACAACAGTTTTGGTAATCCCGCACCTCCTCCTAACTTCCAAACTACGAATTCTCTGCATTATATTCACACCACACATTGCCCTCAGACATGACATCTCCACTGCCTCCAGCCTTCTCCTCGCTGCAACATTCATCACCCATGCTTCACACCCATATAAGAGCGTTGGTAAAACTATACTCTCATACATTCCCCTCTTTGCCTCCAAGGACAAAGTTCTTTGTCTCCACAGACTCCTAAGTGCACCACTCACCCTTTTCCCCTCATCAATTCTATGATTCACCTCATCCTTCATAGACCCATCTGCTGACACGTCCACTCCCAAATATCTGAATACATTCACCTCTTCCACACTCTCTCCCTCCAATCTGATATCCAATCTTTCATCACCTAATCTTTTTGTTATCCTCATAACCTTACTCTTTCCTGTATTCACTTTTAATTTTCTTCTTTTGCACACCCTACCAAATTCATCCACCAATCTCTGCAACTTCTCTTCAGAATCTCCCAAGAGCACAGTGTCATCAGCAAAGAGCAACTGTGACAACTCCCACTTTATGTGTGATTCTTTATCTTTTAACTCCACGCCTCTTGCCAAGACCCTCGCATTTACTTCCCTTACAACCCCATCTATAAATATATTAAACAACCACGGTGACATCACACATCCTTGTCTAAGGCCTACTTTTACTGGGAAATAAATTCCCTCTTTCCTACATACTCTAACTTGAGCCTCACTATCCTCGTAAAAACTCTTCACTGCTTTCAGTAACCTACCTCCTACACCATACACCTGCAACATCTGCCACATTGCCCCCCTATCCACCCTGTCATACGCCTTTTCCAAATCCATAAATGCCACAAAGACCTCTTTAGCCTTATCTAAATACTGTTCACTTACATGTTTCACTGTAAACACCTGGTCCACACACCCCCTACCTTTCCTAAAGCCTCCTTGTTCATCTGCTATCCTATTCTCCGTCTTACTCTTAATTCTTTCAATGATAACTCTGCCATACACTTTACCAGGTATACTCAACAGACTTATCCCCCTATAATTTTTGCACTCTCTTTTGTCCCCTTTGCATTTATACAAAGGAACTATGCATGCTCTCTGCCAATCCCTAGGTACCTTACCCTCTTCCATACATTTATTAAATAATTGCACCAACCACTCCAAAACTATATCCCCACCTGCTTTTAACATTTTTATCTTTATCCCATCAATCCCGGCTGCTTTATCCCCTTTCATTTTACTTACTGCCTCACGAACTTCCCCCACACTCACAACTGGCTCTTCCTCACTCCTACAAGATGTTATTTCTCCTTGCCCTATACACAAAATCACAGCTTCCCTATCTTCATCAACATTTAACAATTCCTCAAAATATTCCCTCCATCTTCCCAATACCTCTAACTCGCCATTTAATAACTCCCCTCTCCTATTTTTAACTGACAAATCCATTTGTTCTCTAGGCTTCCTTAACTTGTTAATCTCACTCCAAAACTTTTTCTTATTTTCAACAAAATTTGTTGATAACATCTCAACCACTCTCTCATTTGCTCTCTTTTTACATTGCTCCACCACTCTCTTAACTTCTCTCTTTTTCTCCATATACTCTTCCCTCCTTGCATCACTTCTACTTTGTAAAAACTTCTCATATGCTAACTTTTTCTCCCTTACTACTCTCTTTACATCATCATTCCACCAATCGCTCCTCTTCCCTCCTGCACCCACTTTCCTGTAACCACAAACTTCTGCTGAACACTCTAACACTACATTTTTAAACCTACCCCATACCTCTTTGACCCCATTTCCTATGCTCTCATTAGCCCATCTATCCTCCAATAGCTGTTTATATCTTACCCAAAACTGCCTCCTCTTTTAGTTTATAAACCTTCACCTCTCTCTTCCCTGATGCTTCTATTCTCCTTGTATCCATCTATCTTTTACTCTCAGTGTAGCTACAACTAGAAAGTGATCTGATATATCTGTGGCCCCTCTATAAACATGTACATCCTGAAGTCTACTCAACAGTCTTTTATCTACCAATACATAATCCAACAAACTACTGTCATTTTGCCCTACATCATATCTTGTATACTTATTTATCCTCTTTTTCTTAAAATATGTATTACCTATAACTAAACCCCTTTCTATATGAAGTTCTATATAAAGTTCAATCAAAGGGCTCCCATTATCATTTACACCTGGCACCCCAAACTTACCTACCACACCCTCTCTAAAAGTTACCTACCACACCCTCTCTAAAAGTTTCTCCTACTTTAGCATTCAGATCCCCTACCACAATTACTCTCTCACTTGGTTCAAAGGCTCCTATACATTCACTTAACATCTCCCAAAATCTCTCTCTCCTCTACATTCCTCTCTTCTCCAGGTGCATACACGCTTATTATGACCCACTTCTCGCATCCAACCTTTACTTTAATCCACATAATTCTTGAATTTACACATTCATATTCTCTTTTCTCCTTCCATAACTGATCCTTCAACATTACTGCTACCCCTTCCTTTGCTCTAACTCTCTCAGATACTCCAGATTTAATCCCATTTATTTCCCCCCACCAAAACTCCCCTACCCCCTTCAGCTTTGTTTCACTTAGGGCCAAGACATCCAACTTCTTTTCATTCATAACATCAGCAATCATCTGTTTCTTGTCATCCGCACTACATCCACGCACATTCAAGCATCCCAGTTTTATAAAGTTTTTCTTCTTCTCATTTTTAGTAAATCTCTACAGGAGAAGGGGTTATTAGCCCATTGTTCCCTCCATAAATACCTACAAAAAAAAAAAAATTGCTTTTCTCATAGACACCCCATCACCCATCAGGAAGACTCTGAGCTGCCTCTATGCAGCCTCTAAATTGGGAATTCATTATTACAAACTGTAAGGGGCTAGTAACCCCTTCTCTTGTATACATTGCTAAATTTAAAAAGAAACTTTCATTTTTCTTTTAGGTCACGCTGCCTCAATGGGATACAGCCAGTTCATTGTAAAAAAAAATTACAAACTGAGTAATCTCAGTGGACAAAATATGTCTTGTACAAAAGATGAGGATTTCAAGAGAATCCATACTGGTATAGGGTAGAGGCTTGATGATGGTTAGAAACTGCAGGGAATTCCATACTTGATACAGTAAAATTGAATCAGTCACTACAACAATTCAAACAAACTCCCCACAAATAGGCATGTATCCCACTGGAATGTTGGTTCCTTAAATGACTGGTTACTTTGCTTACTAAGGCAAGAGATAATAACATACTAGGGTGATGTACTGAAAGCCACAAAAAAAAAAAAAAAAGTAGCAAAATCATTGATCTATCCCAAGATGGAAAGTAGACACAAATGCAGTATAATGTGATTCTTTATACCTGGAGTATACCTAAAGGGTGTTTCAAGTCAATGCCCCTGGGGCTTGGTCCATGACCAGGCCTCGCGGTGGATTTGGTAATCCCCCTTATGTGTGCTAGGAGGCAGCTGAACAGTCTTGGATCCCTGACAATTATTGTGTTGTCTCTTAGCGTACTCATGGTGCCCCTGCCTTTCATTGGGGGAATGTTGCACTGCCTGCAGAGTCCTTTGCTTTCATGGGGAGTGATTTCCGTGTGCAAATTTGGGACTAGTCCCTCTAAAGATTTTCCAAGTGTATATTATCATGGATCTTTCTCACCTGCATTCCAAGGAGTACAGGTCAAGGGACTATTAACTTTCCAGTAATTTAGGTCTTTTCTGTACTTATACATGTACTGAAAGTTCTCTGTATATTCTCCAAGTCTGCAATTTTGCCTGCCTTGAAAGAGACTGTTAGTGTACAGGAATATTCCAGCCTAGAGAGAACAAGTGATTTGAAAAGAATCATCACTGATTAACAACAGTGCACCTAAACATTGGCTTTATTAATAAAGGATCACATAATGCATTTGTGTCTACCTTCCTGTGTTGTTGGTATCTTATACCACTTATTTCCATCTCTCTCAGGAATGGGTAAGAACCAGGAGAGACTGTGGGGCAGGAGAAACTCAACTTATCAGATTAATGTACTCACAGCTTATTTTTTTTTCAACAATACGGCCGTATCCCACCAAGGCAGGGTGACCTAAAAAGAAAAACGAATGTTTTTCTTTTTAAATTTATTAATTCACAGCTCATCTCTTCACTAAAAAATTAAGTCTAATATTGTTTATATAAATAAGATAAACAAAGGAGAGGTGTTCTAGCTGGCTCAACTACAAGAGAAGCCATAAGGAGGGATACCAAGCTAAAAGTTATAGGAAGGACTTCATACTGGTGTATGAGAGGAAATGTGGAGTATTACTCCTAGTGATTCATCAGTGCCTACAGTCCTCATCATTAAAGCATGTCACGTGGAAGGCAGCTGGTGTACTTCAAGGTAATACCCTACCCTGGTTGGGACATCTCAGAATTCCTAAGGCTACAAATTGCATCTTAACCTGTAAACGGTCCAAGCAGATCTACGTTCACATGTGTAGTGCTACAAAAGTAGATCTACGTTTTTTTTACATATTTTCAAATATAACAAAAAAAAAAGTAGATCAAAGTTTTTTACACATTTTCAAATGTAAAAAAAACAAAAAGAAGATCTACTTTTTTTACATACTTTCAAATGTTGAAAAAACGTATATATACGTTTGGACCGTTTATGGGTTAAGTGCTTTCTAGGCTTGCATGGTAGACAGTTTTGTGTCTATGGTACTCCTTGTACCATGTGGTCTTGAGGGCTGAGTTCATCAAACATTTTTTGGCTACTGACAAATTAATATGGATAGGGGTAAGTCACTGACACTATACAACTGCAAAGATCATCTGATTACACAAGGCAGGCAATCAAATGAAGGAAACAGAAGCCACCCAGTGAGGACCTGGTTATATCAGTTCCTTGAGAACAGTGTTGATGATATTCCCACACCAAAAACATGTCCAAGGAAGCCTTGAAAAATGTCCACACTATCATTGACTGTAATGATGTACCTAGAATTTCTCTCTTAGCATTTGCCCAAATATTTCATGTAGTGTGGTGCAAGGTTTTTATGCAAGACTTGCCACACCACACCATCTGTTGCTCAATGACTTTGTGCCTGTGGGGTACCCTTCTTTAATGACTGACCAGGATATTCCCAAGACTTGAACCCCATTGACAGCCTTTAGGCTATGACAGAGATCTACTAAGGAAAGGATGCCATCCTCTAGTTGTAGAGGAATTTATCCCATGAAACACTGAGGAATGTGTTAAACATTTCCTAAGCAGTTGAAGGATGTGCTATAGAGCAAGAGAGGACTTATTTTGTGGTCTTGGTTTTAGAGGGAGGGGGGAGCAGTGTATTTTAATGACAAGAACTAGAGTATTTTCAATGAATAAACAGGATAGAAAACTCAGGAACATGAAGGAAAAATCAAACATATTTGCTTTTGAAAATTTGTGACTAAAGCTTCATCATGTTAAGAAATTTAAAAATCTGAATACATACCTGCAAGAGAGTTTGAATTGCTTAATTATGTTAGAGACCTTCTCAAAGCGGTTAACATCCCTGTGTGGCCTCATACGGTAATGAGATATGACTAAAAAAGTTGCTCTTTCAAATAATAATACTTCATCAGCATCAATGATATTGGCAAAGTCCTTTAGATTTTGTTCCAACTCCTTCACATTTGGAATAAGCTCATATACTATGCTAGACCAAGCCTGAGGAAAAAATATGCAAGTTAGCAATACTAGTGTTGCCTGATGATTCTGCAATCATCTTGTGTTGAATACAAGGCTGTATCTTACATACAGTAGTCCCCCCATAGCTGCAGGTGATACATTCCAAGACCTACCGTGGATACCCAAAACTGTGGATAGTAGCCAATCCTATATATAAATTGTTTTTTGTTTACATACATACTTATGATAAAGTTTAATTGATAAATTATGCACAATAAGTGGAGAATTAGCACTTCACAGCTTCTCTCAGGCTTTGAAGAACTGCCATCATCACTACTTTTGTGCTCTGGTGCCATTATTAAGCAAAATTAAGGGTTATTTTTGGGCCACAGGAAACCGTGGGTAACTGAAACAGCAAACATCAAATCCACAAATATGGGGTTCTACTGTATAACTGCAGGACAGAAAATAAAATTGGTAATTAAATGTTTTTTTTTGTGAAACACTGATTTGGATTTTTTTTTTTTTGAAACTCAACAGCCATCTCCCATCAAGGTATGGTGATCCATCATTCATTCAGTCACTGTCTTTCCAGAAGAGTGTTGACATACTAATACAAAATGCAGCCTATACAATTCATTTTATTTAAGATTTGCAATCATTTTGTGTTTCAAGAGGTCAAATATCTTGCTTTTTTTTTAAACTGGCATTCATATGCAAGAATGTCCTAAAACAAAAAACTAAGAAATTTGCACATAGGAAAGCCAATGAGCACATTTTATGAACGAAATTGCTTGGTTAGTTTTAAATTTGGGGGTTGTATGCCAAACAAGTCCCACTATGAGTTCAGATCAAATATAGAATAAGTGAAGCATGTTAATTATGAAACTTGTGAATTTTGGGGTACAACTGCACTGCAGTACAATCTATTAAGGTAAATTTTGCAAACTTCTCCTTACATTCAGTATACATCTGTCTTTTACTTACTTCTGTAGTCCTTAATAGTTCTTATTCCTGCAAGCCCCTCTCTCTGTTTACATTCAAGAATAATAAAAAATTCTTTGAGTCACCATAACTTGGTTAGAAACACCTATGTTAAAAATATTTTCCTCACTTTAATGTGTAGGTTTATAGCACTTCATTGCTGAATATTACTGGAAGGTCTAGACTAATAAATACTATGAAGAAATACAGTATACACGTGATACTACTTTCGGAGAGAAGAAGATAAGAATGGTAGTGGTCACAGTGAGATGCCACAGAGAGAGCAGAAGGTTCACAGTGCCACTTCTGCAAGAGAAGAGACCAAGCTGCCCATATATTACATGAATGAATTTCACAGGCAGCTATATATTATGCCCAATAAATTTATCATGAAGCTACTCTAATTTTAAGTTGATAACTAACTGTTCAATATATTTATAGATGGGGTTGTAAGAGAAGTGAATGCTCAGGTGTTGGCAAGAAGTATGGGGTTAAAAGATAAAGAACGAAATACATAGTGGGAGTTGTCACAGTTGCTCTTTGCCGATGACACTGTGCTTTTGGGAGATTCTGAAGAGAAGTTGCAGAGGTTGGTGGATAAGTTTGGTAGGGTATGTAAAAGAAGAAAATAAGAAGTGAATACAGCATCTCCTTACTTAACAACAGAGTTCCGTTCCTAAGACCACGTTGATAAACGAATTCGTCGCTAAGGGAGGAGCATACTATAATGGTAGTGGGTTTGTGTCTACTATCTTTGATACTGTTTTAATGTCACCTTTGCACCATTTATAACATTTCTGGTATATTTTTAAATGTTTTTACAGTAGAGTACTACTGTATATTGTAATACACAGAATAGAGGAAATCAGCTCTAATATACATTATTTAGGCATGTATACTGGTCAGAGAGCCCGTCATAAGTCTGAGGCATCGGTAAACAAGTACGTCGCTATGTGAGGAGAGGCTGTATAGGAAAGAGCAAGGTGATGAGGATACATAAGATTGGATATCAGATTGGAGGGAGAGCGTATGGAGGAGGTGAATGTATTCAGATAGTATTTAGAAGTGGATGTGTCAGCAGATGGGTCCATGAAAGATGAGGTGAATCATAGAACTGATGAGGGGAAAAAAGTGAGTGGTACACTGAGGAGTTTGTGGAGACAAAGAACTTTGTCCATGGAAGCAGAGGGAAATGTATGAGAGTATAGTTATACCAATGCTGTTATATGGGTGTGAAGCATGGGTGGTGAATGTTGCAACAAGGAGATGGCTGAAGGCAGCGGAGATGTCGTGTCTGAAGGCAATGTGCGGTGTGAATATAATGCAGAGAATTCGTAGTTTGGAAATTAGGAGGTGCAGGATTGCCACAACTATTATCCTGAGGGCGGAGGAGGGGTTGCTGAGGTGGTTTGGACATGTAGAGAGGATGGAACAAAATAGAACGACTTCAAGAGTATAAATTTGTAGTGGAAGGAAGGCAGTGTAGAGGTCGGCCTAGGAAAGGTTGGAGGGAGGGGGTAAAGGAGGTTTTGTGTGTGAGGGGCTTGGTCTTTCAGCAAGCATGTGTGAGCGTGTTAGATAGGAACGAATGGAAACAAATGGCTTTTGAGGACTTGATGTGCTGTTGGAGTGTGAGCAGGGTAATATTTATGAAGGGATTCAGGGAAACCAGCAGGCCGGACTCAAGTCCTCCAGATTGCAGGCACTCTGAAGGAGGGGTGTTAATGCTGCAGTTTCTTTTTCAGGCCACCCTACCTTGGTGGGAAATGGTTGATGTGTTAATAAAAAGTAAAACTAACTTTTAAGAGTATGGCTTAAGAGGGATACAAGTGATGTTCCTTTTCAAAGAGCTCTCAAAAGTGAGAAGTGTAACTGTATTGGACAAACCTTACAAACCCTTCTACTATCATCATCATATTTGTCATAAGTATGATGATAAGCCTGTATATAAGTGTTGCAACCCCTGAATGGGTCACAATGTATATAATATTACCTTTTCATATAATTTTATATTGCTTATATTTGCGATAATAGCTAAATCGTAAATATATTGCTTTATATTATTATTTGACTTAGTTATGTTATTAGGTAGGATGCAACATTTATATATATATTCAGTGCTCATAGTTCAAGTCTTGATTGTCTAACTACTGTAATTATCGCTCGTTGCTCGTTTTCCTGCCGGCTTCTCGGTGTTGCCGGGCAGCAACTGTCCACAAAGCAATCATGTGATCGAGGGGGGGTGTTCACACCTCGCCTGGAGTAGTCAGTCTGGGCTAGACTCTCTTGGTGGTTGGATGTATTCCTGACAAGACGTGCCTAACTCTCCCTTATTGGCCCTTGTTGGAAGATCATCTCTGTCGCTTTCTTCTTGTTGGTTCTGTAGAACTCTGTTCGCAGAACAGTGTCTAGACTTAGTGATTTTCGACGTTGTACTGAGGTTGTGTGTCGCATAGACACTCTGAGCAACTCAGGTCCTGAGCTGCAGCTTCTGACCTAACTTGTACTGGTATCTGTGTACTGTCACAGTCGGGGATTTTCTTATGCTGAACTTAGATTCAGTAGTATGGGAGTTTTGTGACTTTTGTGGAGGATCTGCAGATGGTCCCTACTTAGTGTTGTTATATTATCTCCTTGTTCCTGATTCTGTGTCACTTTTGCTTCTTATATTGTTGTTCGACTTATCAGTCGTTTTATTGTTCAAGCAAGCTGTTCTGATTGCCAGGTTGGTCAAGAAGTTAGCTGAAGTGAGGACTTTGTCATTCACTGGTTTAAGTCTAGTCGAGTCTTGAGACATAGCGAACTACTTAGAGCACTTACACACACTTACTTGTATATATATGTACAGTGGACCCTCGAGTTTTGGCAGCCTCGACTTTCGTGAAATTTGACCTTCGGCGAGTTTTTTTGGAAAAATTTGGCCTCGAGTTTCGTGAAAAAACTAGTGTTTCGGCAACCGTCCGGTACCTGTCCGCTCGTCACCACGCACACAAAGCCAGTCTCCCACGCCATTCACGCTCAGTGTGCCACCGTTTACCAACACGTGACCATCACCCCGCAGGTTCATACGTAATAATCCATTGTTTTTTGTGATTACAACTGCTAAATAACTCACCATGAGCCCAAGGAAAGCTAGTGCAAGCTCTTTGGTAAAGAAAGTGAGGAACACGATCGAATTCAAGAAGGAAATCATTGAAAAATATGAGAGTGGAGTGCGTGTTACAGAGCTTGCCAGGATGTATGGCAAGCCTCATTCAACCATCACTTCGATCGTGGTGAAAGGAAAGGAAATAAAGTGTGCTGTTGTTGCAAAAGGGGTGGATATGCTGACAAAAAGGATATCACAAATCCTCGAAGAAGTGGAGAGGTTATTGTTGGTGTGGATTACTGAAAAACACTTAGCAGGAGATAGTGTTAAGCAGTCGATATGTGAAAAGGCAAGGCAGTTGCATGACGATCTCGTAAAGAACATGCCTGCAACAAGTGGTGATGCTTGTGATTTTAAGGACAGCAAAGGTTGGTTTGAGAGATTTAAGAAGCGTAGTGGCATTCACAGTGTGATAAGGCATGGTGAGGCTGCCAGTTCTGACAAAAAAGCAGCTGAGAAGTTTGTACAGGAGTTTAAGGAGTGCATAGACACTGGAGAATTCAAACCCCAGCAAGCGTTTAATTGTGACGAAACAGGCCTCTCCTGGAAGAAAATGCCAAAGAGGACCTACATCACGCAGGAGGAAGCAGCACTCCCAGGACACAAGCCTATGAAACACAGGCTCACTCTCATGTTTTGTAGTAATGCTAGAGGGGATTTTAAAGTGAAGCCTTTACTGGTGTATCACTCTGAAAATCCCAGAGTGTTCAAGAAATACAGTGTCACCAAGAGTAACTCGTGTGTGATGTGGAAGGCTAACAGTAAGGCATGGGCCACAAGGGGAATTTTCCTAGACTGGTTTAATGAAGTGTTTGGCCCCAGTGTGAAGAAATACCTCCTGGAAAATAAATTGCCACTGAAGTGCCTCCTGGTAATGGACAATGCTCCTGCTCATCCTCCAGACTTGGAAGAGCAAATAGTGGAGGAGTTTAGTTTCATCGTGGTGAAGTTCTTGCCTCCTAATACCACTCCTCTCCTCCAGCCCATGGACCAGCAGGTCATTTCAAACTTCAAAAAACTCTACACCAAAGCAGTGTTTCAGAAGTGCTTTGAAGTGACCTCAGACACTGAACTGACCCTAAGAGAGTTCTGGAAAGATCACTTTAATATCCTCCAATGCATAAACCTTATAGGTAAGTCTTGGGAGGGAGTGACTTCCAGGACTTTGAACTCTGCTTGGAGAAATTTGTGGCCAGATTGTGTACAAGAGAGGGATTTTGAAGGGTTTGTGGCTGACCCTAAGGAACCTATGCCAGTTGTGGAAACTATTGTGGCTTTGGGGGATGTCCCTGGGTTGGAGGTGAGTGGTGGGGAAATGTGGAAGAGTTGGTGGGACCACAGGGAAGAGCTAACCACTGAAGAGCTGCAAGAGCTTCATCTGCAACAGCAACAGATCACAGCTCAGGAAACTGCTGCAGACGAGGAGGAAGAGAGATGGAGGAAGGTGCCTTCTTCAAAGATTAAGGACATTTGTGGAAAGTGGACTGAAGTGCAAACATTTATGGATGAACTTCACCCTAACAAAGCTGTTGCAGGCCGTATTGGCAACATGTACAATGACAGTGTTGTGTCCCACTTCAGGGAAATCTTAAAGAAACGCCAGAAACAGACCTCTCTGGACAGATATTTTGTGCGACAGGGGTCCAGTGACTCTCAAGCTGGTCCCAGTGGCATTAAAAGAAGAAGGGAAGTAACCCCAGATATGGACTTCGTACCTAAGTCCTAATAGTGTACAACTTCCTCCTATCCCCTCCTCCCGTCTTCCATCCATGCAGAAGTCTTCAGTAAAGGTAAGTGTAATGTTATTATTATTTATTTTAAATGCATGTACTTGATTTCTGATTGTTTTCATTATGTAAATCTTTATTTAATTTGAAAAAAATATTTTATTTTAATATTTTTGGGTGTCTGGAACGGATTAATTTTATTTCCATTATTTCTTATAGGGAAAATGGTTTCAAGTTTCGTGAATTTCGACCTTTGGCGGGCTCTCTGGAACGGATTAATCACGAAACTTGGGGGTCCACTGTATTAGGTTATTAAATGTTAATAATGTACCAGATGGTACTTATAAGCCATAAAAATGTGATATGTGCCTTCAGCACAATACTACTGTACACGAGAGAAGTGATTATTCTTATTTTGTTTATATTACTTAAATTTACTTTGATCTTATACCTATAGACTTTGTTATTAATAAATTTATTAAATTTTAATTTCTCTAGTTAGTAGCCTACCAGTTGTAATCATGAAGCACTAATAATTCTTACTGAATTCTAATGGATAATTGGACCAGGATACTGACTGCTTGTTACGAAAACCCAGTATCAGGCTGGATGCTAGAAGGGCAGCCCTTTCTAGTATTCACTGGAGACCTCTATGCTTATTAGAAATCGCATTTTTTGTAACAATAAGGGTCATAGAGGGCTTGGCGATTGGAAGGTAATCAGGTTTGATCTGAGGAATAAGATGGTAGTTCCAATTTCTTGGAACATGAGCCCATTATCAGCATCAAGGGACCCCCTACCCTCCTCCCCACCTATATGGGGCATACTTTACCAGCTTTTCTCTATTTTTTCTATGTAACTGGAAAGGGAGGGAAGGTACAGTAGCAAACACCTCTCCATGCCACTCACACTCCTTTATTTTCTTATATTTTAAGAAAACATATCCCCTGGAATAGGTCTCCATTTTCATTAGGAGTCTAAGGAATACTTTCATTCACTATGCAACAATCTGCTACACAACAAGTTTTGTAGAATGCACATACATAATGAGGCTGTCCTATTTAAGGTGAAATTGAGAAGTTTATACAATAAAAAATAAATTAAGTAAACAGCCTCTCCTCACTTAGCAACATACTCGTCTACCGATACCTCGGACTTACAAAGGGCTCTCTGACCAGTATTCATACCTAAGTAATGTATATTAGAGCCGATTTCCTCTATTCTGTTTATTTCAACATACAGTACACTACCGTATAAACATTTAAAAATATACCAGAAGTGTTATAAATGGTGCAAAGGTGACATTAAAACAATATCAAAGATGGTTAACACAAACTCATACTACCATTATACATGTAGTATACTCCTCACTTGGCGACAGAATTCGTTTAACGACATGGTCTTAGGAATGGAACTCTGTCGTTAAGTGAGGAGAGGCTGTATTAACAACCTAATTAAGTTTAAGAGGCTTGTGATCATGTATGACAGAAGAAAATTTTCATTATAATAAATTCATTGTCACCTTGTAAAGAGTTTCATCCCATATTGAAGTTCGAAAGCAGACGCATTCTAAGGGCTTTGATAATCGCTTGAGATCCTCTTCCCTCTCCCGAAATATCTGCAATTAAAAATAAATATAGAGAGAACAGAAAATAATAAATATATTTAAACTTTAAAATACTAACCTAAACACTTGATAGTTAAACAGTGCAACTAATGGCATCTTAATATTTTTTAGGAAAATAGGTCATTACCAAACCTAAAAGATTGCAGAAGTAATGAATGAAGCTTATGAAGACTTCAGAATTTAAAAAAAAAAAAAAATCCAAAATATGGATGAACCTAATTTAAATATCCATGATATCCTTGTATAGCTCTAATGATTTCCACCCTCCTCCTATACTAATGTACACACCATCAACCTACACTAAGAAAATTTTTACATGATTATGCTTATCCACATTAATTATTGGGTTAAATTCTGATCCTCCTGAATTTATGAGTACAGTACTGTACTTAAGTATTCTGGTCCTCTTAAACGTTTGAGTACTTTCAGCCAATCCTATCCAAAATTACAGTATAGTGCCAAACATTCACTATTCAAACTTTCAAATTCAAAATTTACAGTACTCACTTGTACTTACACATGCACTCTGATTATCTTGCACACATGAGAACTCCTTGGTAACTCATTTACTCTGAACTACCATACAGTATAATAATAGCAATCTTTATTTCACTGAGGTACAGTTGGCCACACAGAAGTAGAGACCAATTGGGAGAGGGAAATGGAGACATGTGTTGTACTGTACTCTACTATGAAGTAGCAAAGAGTATTTGATTATGAATGCCATGATTGGCAGATGAGCTGTCGATTTCTGTACTATATAATATTAGTCCACTAACATAGCTTAAAGCTATATCAACCTGGGAAAACAATAGGAGGTTACCTTTGCTTTTGAGAAAACATAAATGATGATGGCCTTTAGGCACCAAGATGGTAATGCTGGGAAAGTGGTAAGAAAGAAAGGGAGTGTGTTAGAACCTGGGGATGAAGGCAATATCCTTGGGGTAAAATTTTTTTATCTCAGACTATGAAGAACCACATAATAAATCTTGTAAACAAGGCGGCAAAGAACAGAGAATGAGAATTATCATATTTTTATGTTCTTCATAAGAGGGAATAATCACTGACAATATTATTTCCCATGCATACTTAATATCAGGTCCTCAGCTACAGAATAGTGGACTAATATCATACAGAGAAATCATCAATTCATCTACGAATCATCACCTGTTTCAATACTAATCGTGTGGGCACACGTGCTCATTTACAGCCAAATATAGTTTACTACTTGGAGTAGTTACATATCTCCATTGTCCCTTATTTGTCTCAACTTCTGTGCGACCAACTGTTTGTTGCACAAAAATGCCTGCACATAGGAGAGAGAAGCTTACAACGATGATTCAGTCCAACTAGGACCATTTACAGTGTGACTTTGTAAATGGTCCAATTCAGACTGAAACGCTGTCGTAAGCTCCTCTCTCCTATGTGCCGGTTATTTGTGTATTGTTCCAGTCATGGTATTGTGCCTTTTTGTTATATATTTTTGTACACTGCATTGTTACGAATTTAAGAACAGCTAAAATTTTTAAGTATAAACAGTAAAGCCCATAGTTATGCATATCATTTTCGACAGAACTAGTACTAATACTAACTTAAGGTTTGTTCAGGAATTTGATGTTAATACATGAGGGGCACCAAAAATAAAATAGTAATAATAAGTAATGATAATAAAATGATATTGATAATAATGTGTTGGAAATTGAGTATAATACCAAAGAAATAATTAACATAAATATGTACTAATATGTACTCATCGGAGTTTTCTTTGATTTTATCTTAATAGTTCTTGGTCTTATTACTTTTCCTTTTATATCCATGGGGAAGTGGAATAAGAATCTTTCCTCCATAAGCCATGCGTGTTGTAAAAGTCAACTAAAATGCCGGGAACAATGGGCTAGTAACCCCTTTTCCTGTAAAGATTACTAAAAAGAATAAGAAGAAGAAAATTGTCAAAGTGGGAAGTCTGAATGTGCGTGGATGTTGTGCAAATGATAAGAAAGAGATGATTGTGGATGTTATGAATGAGAAGAAACTGGATGTCCTGGCTTTAAGTGAAACAAAGCTGAAGGGGGTGGGAGAGTTTCAATGGAGAGGAATAAATGGGATTAGGTCAGGGGTTTCAAATAGAGTTAGAGCTAAAGAAGGAGTAGCAATAATGTGAAGGGTAACTATGGCAGGAAAAGAGGGACTACAAATGAATAAATTCAAGGATTATGTGGAGTAAAAAAAAGATTGGATGTGAAAAGTGGGTTATAGTAAGCGTGTATGCACCTGGAGAAGAGAGAAGTGTAGAGGAGAGAGAGAGATTCTGGGAATTGTTGAGTGAATGCGTGGGGAGTTTTTGAATCAAGTGTGAGAGTAATGGTGGTTGGGGATTTTCAATGCTAAAATGGGTAAAAATGTTATGGAGGGAGTAGTAGGTTTAAAATTTGGGTGCCAGGGTAAATGTAAATGGGGGAGCCTTTAATTGAGCTATGTTGTAGAAAGAGATTTGGTAATAAGTAATACATATTTTATGAAAAAGAGGATAATAAATATACAAGGTTGATGTAGCACGTAATGAAAAGTGTTTATTAGATTATGTATTGGTGGATAAAAGGTTGATGGGTAGGCTCCAGGATGTACATGTTTATAGAGGGGCAACTGATATATCGGATCATTATTTAGTTGTAGCTACAGTTAGAGTAAGGGTAGATGGGAAAAGAGGAAGGTGCAACAACAAGTAAGAGGGAGGTGAAAGTGTAAAAAACTAAGGGGGGAGGAAGTTCGGGTGAGATATAAGCGACTATTGCAGAAAGGTGGGCTAGTGCAAAGATGAGTAGTGGGGGGGGTTTAAGAGGGTTGAACAGTTTTTAAAATGCAGTATTAGAATGTGGGGGAGTAGTTTGTGGTTATAGGGGGGTGGGGCAGGAGGAAAGAGGAGTGATTGGTGGAATGATGAAGTAAAGGGTGTGATAAAAGAGAAAAAGGTAGCTTATGAGAGGTTTTTACAAAGCAGAAGTGTTATAAGAAGAGCAGAGTATAGGAGAGTAAAAGAAAGGTGAAGAGAGTGGTGAGAGAGTACAAAAGGAAGCAGATGATAGAGTGGGAGAGGCACTGTCAAGAAATTTTTAAAGAAAATAAGAAAAAAATTTTGGGGTGAGTTAAACAAGTTAAGAAAGCCAAGGGGAAAATAGGATTTGTCAGTTAAAAACAGAGTTTGGGGAATTAGTAGATGGGGAAAGGGAGGTATTAGGTAGATGGCGAGAATATTTTGAGGAACTTTTAAATGTTGAGGAAGAAAGGGAGGGGGTAATTTCATGCACTGGCCAGGAGGTATACCATCTTTTAGGAGTGAAGAAGAGCAGAATATAATTGTGGTGGAGGTACGTGAGGCATTACGTAGAATGAAAGGGGGTAAAGCAGCTGGAAACTGATGGGATCATGTCAGAAATGTTAAAAGCAGGGGAGGATATAGTGTTGGAGTGGTTGGTACTTTTGTTTAATAAATGTATGAAAGAGGGGAAGGTACCTAGAGATTGGCGGAGAGCATGTATAGTCCCTTTATATAAAGGGAAAGGGGACAAAAGAGATTGTAAAAATTATAGAGGAATAAGTTTACCGAGTATACCAGGAAAAGTATACGGTAGGGTTATAATTGAAAGAATTAGAGGTAAGACAGAATGTAGGATTGCGGATGAGCAGGGAGGCTTCAGAGTGGGTAGGGGATGTGTAGATCAAGTGTTTACATTGAAGCATATATGTGAACAGTATTTAGATAAAGATAGGGAAGTTTTTATTGCATTTATGGATTTAGAAAAGGCATATGATAGAGTGGATAGAGGAGCAATGTGGCAGATGTTGCAAGTATATGGAATAGGTGGTAAGTTACTAAATGCTGTTAAGAGTTTTTATGAGGATAGTGAGGCTCAGGTTAGGGTGTGTTGAAGAGAGGGAAAATACTTCCCGGTAAAAGTAGGTCTTAGACAGGGATGTGTAATGTCACCATGGTTGTTTAATATATTTATAGATGGGGTTATAAGAGAAGTAAATGCTAGGGTGTTCGGGAGAGGGGTGGGGTTAAATTATGGGGAATCAAATTCAAAATGGGAATTGACAGTTACTTTTTGCTGATGATACTGTGCTTATGGGAGATTCTAAAGAAAAATTGCAAAGGTTAGTGGATGAGTTTGAGAATGTGTGTAAAGGTAGAAAGTTGAAAGTGAACATAGAAAAGAGTAAGGTGATGAGGGTATCAAATGATTTAGATAAAGAAAAATTGGATATCAAATTGGGGAGGAGGAGTATGGAAGAAGTGAATGTTTTCAGATACTTGGGAGTTGACGTGTCGGCGGATGGATTTATGAAGGATGAGGTTAATCATAGAAATGACGAGGGAAAAAAGGTGAGTGGTGCATTGAGGTATATGTGGAGTCAAAAAACGTTATCTATGGAGGCAAAGAAGGGAATGTATGAAAGTATAGTAGTACCAACACTCTTATATGGGTGTGAAGCTTGGGTGGTAAATGCAGCAGCGAGGAGACGGTTGGAGGCAGTGGAGATGTCCTGTCTAAGGGCAATGTGTGGTGTAAATATTATGCAGAAAATTCGGAGTGTGGAAATTAGGAAAAGGTGTGGAGTTAATAAAAGTATTAGCCATAGGGCTGAAGAGGGGTTGTTGAGGTGGTTTGGTCATTTAGAGAGAATGGATCAAAGTAGAATGACATGGAAAGCATATAAATCTATAGGGGAAGGAAGGCGAGGTAGGGGTCGTCCTCGAAAGGGTTGGAGAGAGGGGGTAAAGGTTTTGTGGGCAAGGGGCTTGGACTTCCAGCAAGCGTGCGTGAGCGTGTTAGATAGGAGTGAATGGAGACGAATGGTACTTGGGACCTGACGATCTGTTGGAGTGTGAGCAGGGTAATATTTAGTGAAGGGATTCAGGGAAACCGGTTATTTTCATATAGTCGGACTTGAGTCCTGGAAATCGGAAGTACAATGCCTGCACTTTAAAGGAGGGGTTTGGGATATTGGCAGTTTGGAGGGATATGTTGTGTATCTTTATACGTATATGCTTCTAAACTGTTGTATTCTGAGCACCTCTGCAAAAACAGTGATTATGTGTGAGTGTGGTGAAAGTGTTGAATGATGATGAAAGCATTTTTTGGGGGGGATTTTCTTTCTTTTTTGGGTCACCCTGCCTCGGTGGGAGACGGCCGACTTGTTGAAAAAACAGTATTAAGAGTTTGATGGTAATAATATAAGTGTGTCTTTAACAATACAGTAAAGATTATAGTGATCATAATAAAATACAGCAAGTATTGTGTAGCTAACTGGTAGAATTCAATCTAAAATCTAGTGAAGGGTTTACATGTGATTTGATTAAAATTTAAATAGGTATATCACATAAATAGAAATTTTGTTAAAGAATAAAATAAAGTGAGGATAAAATAATGGTTAGTTAATCAGAACAATGGCTAATAAATATGATAATTATACACAATCTGAAATAGAACAAAATACAAAAGTTATCTAATTCTTCTATTCTGATGACTGAATACTTACAAGATCTCTTTGGTCATCCTGCACGAGATCCATCTTGTGTATAAGGCAGAAGACACGAGCCTCTGGGGAGTTCTGCAAGATGGCTTCCAGGCAACTCTGGTAATAATGCATGTCCCTCTCTTTAAAAAAAATAATAAAGCTTTCTGTAATAAACATCAAGTCCAGTTAGTTTGTCTTTTTTTTTTTTTTTTCAACAAGTCGGCCGTCTCCCACCGAGGCAGGGTGACCCAAAAAAAGAAAGAAAATCCCCAAAATGAAAATACTTTCATCATCATTCAACACTTTCACCACACTCGCACATTATCACTGTTTTTGCAGAGGTGCTCAGAATACAACAGTCTAGAAGCATACACATATAAAGATACACAACATATCCCTCCAAACTGCCAATATCCCAAACCCCTCCTTTAAAGTGCAGGCATTGTACTTCCCATTTCCAGGACTCAAGTCCGACTATATGAAAATAACCGATTTCCCTGAATCCCTTCACTAAATATTACCCTGCTCACACTCCAACAGATCGTCAGGTCCCAAGTACCATTCGTCTCCATTCACTCCTATCTAACACGCTCACGCACGCTTGCTGGAAGTCCAAGCCCCTTGCCCACAAAACCTCCTTTACCCCCTCTCTCCAACCCTTTCGAGGACGACCCCTACCCCGCCTTCCTTCCCCTATAGATTTATATGCTTTCCATGTCATTCTACTTTGATCCATTCTCTCTAAATGTCTTGTATAAAAACAAACTTCAATAGAAAGAAATTGATGAAGTACACTGTATTTTAAATATTAATACCATTACACTACCTTAGTGGAGAATGAGAAATGCTGAAAATTTATTTTGTAAAGTAAAAGGACACAAGTGCAACTAATGTGATATTTTATTGTGGCAACATTACGCTCTCCAGGAGCCTTGTCAAGCTGTTAGTTCAATTTTGACTCACCCAGTTCACGGCTCTCAACGTCAAATACATAGATAAGCACTTCTACATTTCTGAAAATATTGTCCCTCTGAGAAGCAAAGTAGTTCTCCATGAATGCTTCTTGCCTGTTGATGAAATACAAATATAAAATTAATTCTATTTAAATAATGACATGAGATTTTGAATGACTAATGAGGATAATTGATGATATGCAGTATATGATATTTTTCATATTCTTATTTAAATAAATAGCATGAACTGTTACAAAATACAATGCTAATAAGAATTTACTCCTGATCATGCAAATGTTTCAATAGGTATTATACTCACCCTCCACAATCCCATAAGTTTAGGACCAAGTTGCCCAGAAATCGTACATGGGAGTGTTCTACATCAACTGAAACAGTAAAAGTTGTAATCAATCTCTCCAGCTCTCAGTCATATTACTCATCCCTTTTCAGGAACTGCATTCATAGTACATACACCTGACTCCTGGCTTTTGCAGTGGATTCACCCCTGGAAAATTAATGTTGTTGTTGCTGGGTTTCAAGAGTCACCAAAGCTCATGCCTCTTTGAGCCCTGCCTCCCGGAAGTTTGGGGAAAAATATAATGCCTAAATCTGGGTTGAAATTAAAGTGAAAACAAAATTTCCCTAAAAAACAGAGATGGATAAAATATTTTCCCAATTACGTCAGGTGGACCCCTTTGCCTAAGCCTCAAAAAAAAAAAAGCCAGCTCCCTAAGAGGTTAGTTTCCACCTCATCTGGACATTTTTTCATATCTTTAGGTGTAAGGTTACATCTGATAGATATAATTTTTTTTTTCAACAAACCGGCCGTATCCCACCAAGGCAGGGTGGCCCAAAAAGAAAAACGAAAGTTTCTCTTTTTAAATTTAGTAATTTATACAGTAGAAGGGGTTACTAGGCCCTTGCTCCCAGCATTATAGTCACCTCTTACAACACACATGACTTACAGAGGAAGAATTCTGTTCCACTTCCCCATGGAGATAAGAGAAAATAAACAAGAACAAGAACTAGAAAGAAAATAGAAGAAAACCCAGAGGGGTGTGTAGTATATAAATGCTTGTATATGTATGTGTAGTGTGACCTAAGTGTAAGTAGAAGTAGCATGATGTACCTGAAATCTTGCATGTTTATGAGACAGAAAAAAGGACACCAGCAATCCTACCATCATGTAAAACAATTACAGGCTTTCGTTTTACACTCACTTGGCAGGACGGTAGTACCTCCCTGGGCAGTTGCTGTTTACCAACCTACTACCTAGGGTAAATATAATTATACTGTTTTTTTAATTTGGAAAAAAAGAAAGAATCTGAGAACATAAATAATAATGAAATAATAATACGTATAATATAATAAAATAATAATACATATAATAACAATAATTTAATATCTTTATTTCTACAAATACACCTACCATCAGACTTACGACCTGCTCGACTTACGACCACTCGACTTACGACCACTCGACTTACGACCACTCGACTTACGACCACTCGACTTACGACCACTCGACTTACGACCACTCGACTTACGACCACTCGACTTACGACCACTCGACTTACGACCACTCGACTTACGACCACTCGACTTACGACCACTCGACTTAACGACCACTCGACTTACGACCACTCGACTTACGACCACTCGACTTACGACCACTCGACTTACGACCACTCGACTTACGACCACTCGACTTACGACCACTCGACTTACGACCGTGTTTTTTATGTCAAATTTCTGGGAAATAAACAACTATTTGTGTTACAGTGTTTATCCTAAACCTTACAGTATAAAATACAGTACTAACAACATAAAAAGTAAAGTAAAACATGAAATACCAAAATAAAACAATAAAATAAAGTCATTACAAAAATGTTTTGTTGATATTCAGTAGTAAAGTTCGACTTACGACCATTTCGACTTACGACCAGTTTCTCGGAACCGAACTCGGTTGTAAGTCAGATGGTAGGTGTATATGTACAAGGTATACAGGCCTAGCCAACATCAATGACATACAGTACTACATAGAAAGCTGCTTGTTATGCAGAGCATTTCAGGCAAATTAGGTCAGTTTTGTTCCAGGATGCAACCCACACCAGTCGACTAACTCCCTGGTACCCATTTTACTGATGGGGAACATACACAACTGGTGTAAAGAAACATGCCCAATGTTTCTGCCCTCGCCAGAAATCGAACCCGGACCCTCGCCATATGAAGCGAGAGCTTTAGCCACCATGCTGTAATAAAGGAACTGTTAATGAAAAGTGACCAAGATAATTAGAATGATAATGTGTTTGGACTTAACAATATGTACATTATTAAATAAACAGGTCAACCTATGAGGCTGGAACCATGAATAAATGGTCAACAAATTGCCTTACCATAAATGAAATGGCACAAATGAGATATGGTGCCACACCATCAATATCTGACCTGATACTTATTCAGACAAAGGAAGAAATTTTCAGTAAACTATATCTTAATCCACTTGGTAACAGTGATCACATTTTATTGGAATTAACATGTGCTAAATATGACTTAGGTGAGGAAAAAGAAACATACAAACAAGAGCAAATGGATTATAAAACAGTCAACTACAATGCTTTAAGGCAGTATTGCTGAGGAACTGACTGGGATAAAATACAATATTACAAAAGACAGCTTGCCCCCACCTGGGAATTAAAGTTTCACCCTTATGGTTTTTAGCCAAACACTCTCGCTCAGATATAAATTACCTGCTCACACACAAACTACTCACTCCCCCTTTCCAATATAGCTCACCCATGCAGATGTTTTACATTTCTATTATATATTGCTGACATTAGCATTCTTTCTATTGCTTATCATTCTAAACTACATACTATATATACAATATAAACGTCTGTAGAATTATCTTTTACAGTAAATAACCTACATTTCACATTCCTATTTTCTTCTCACTAGCAAAGCCAGCAAGTATTTTTGCACTCTAAAGATATATCCTTTTATGTTATAGAAAACAACAAAGAGAAACTTACTTGTTGCTCCAAGGCGACTGGTGTCTCGAGCAATGTAGTTGGCAAAAATAATAGATCTCATACTGGTCTTCCCAGACCCACTCTTACCCATCAGCAAAACCTAATAAAATATGACAATACTGTAAAGAAATAATCAGATTCTTTAGGAATTGTCTAAATTAGCAAATATACAGTACTGTAATGGTAAAACCAATTTAAATATATATATATATACATAAAAAATAAAAATGCAAAAAGTTTTCTGGTTACTGAAAAATATGTTGTCATCAAAAGAAAAGACACACTTCACGTAAATATACTAATATAAATTCACACATAGTACAAACACCTTTCACTGTACTTCCAACATAAAAACCACTGTATTACTGTGCATGAAGGAGTTAGGGGTCTAGCTGTGGATGTATGGAGACAGGAGTTTTACTGTGAGTGGAAGGAACCAAGAATCTCACTGTGGATGGAGGGTAGCAGGAATCTTGCTGTGTATAGGCATCTTACTGTAGGTAAAGGGTAGTGGGAATCTCACTGTGGATGGTGGGTAGTATCTCAATGTGGGTAAAAGGTAGTGGGAATTTCACTGTGGGTGGTGGGTAGCAGGAGTTTTACTGTGGGTGGAGGGCAGTAAGTCTTTGAGAAGATAAAGGGAGGTCGGAATGTCAATGTGGCCTTTCAACACTCACAAAACATTAATGGAACTCAGGCAAGTGAACCCTCTTTGGAGTGGATATGCTGAATGTGTTTACATTCAGCTCACCCAGATGCCTACATTATAGTTCATGCTCCTCCTTGAAACCTTCCCACTGATCATCACTGTTTCCTGCTTTCATGTGGTGCCATCTTAAACATGCATTTAGTAAAAGAAAGAAATATTGTATACTGCCCAATAAAAGGTTAAGCAAGGCTTAGGTAGGGTTGGATTACTATTAGTACATTAGATTAGATTAGGCTGTGTCACTTCCTCCAAATCCACAGCTAGTGGTTCACATGGCTTATGGACTAAGTGGTAGAGTCTTCAGGTTCCACTTGAAGGATTCAAGCTCAAACCTGGGACAAACTGATTATTAATATCATGGGGAAACGCTAAACCCGTAGGGATTATACAGTGCCTGAAGGGGATGGGGGGTTATGGAAAGCATTCAAGCTCAATTCAGGGAACTGGAACACAGATCCAATTCCCTGGATCAAGAGTGCCTCATCAGCATCAAGGAACTGGGACAAACTGAAACGTTCACCAAGTTCCTTACACCCATTGCCCCTTGTTTACTAGCAGTAAGTAGGTACCTGAGTGTTAGCTAACTTCAAGTGTGTACCATATTTTCCAGCAGAAAAGACTTATTTTCATCAAGTCTTGACAAATCACTCTGTGCCTTACATGTTCCAGGTCAGGGTCAAGGGTAGGCTTTGGGTTACTGGCAAGTGGTGTTTTCAGTGGTAACAATACATACCAGTAAACAATACATACACACGTAACAATACATACCAGTAAAAGGAGATACAGTTGGAATAAAGTGAACCGAGTTATTTACATAAACACTAAAGAGAGGGATCAGCTTACAATAATAGGTACATGAATGTTAACTTCACAGGCAGGTCTTGCTTATACAGCAGATTGGGTTCTAGGCTATCACTGTAAAGTGAATCATAGCCTTTTTCACTTTCAAATGCATATCAAATCTTGGAAGGGAGGTTTTGTGGGCGAGGGGCTTAGACTTTCAGCAGGTGTGCGTGAGCGTGTTCGATAGGAGTGAATGGAGACGAATGGTATTTGGGACCTGACGATCTGTTGGAGTGTGAGCAGGGTAATATTTAGTGAAGGGATTCAGGGAAACCAGTTATTTTTATATAGTCGGACTTGAGTCCTGGATATGGGAAGTAAAATGCCTGCACTTTAAAGGAGGGGTTCGGGATATTGGCAGTTTGGAGGGATATGTTGTGTATCTTTATATGTATATGCTTCTAAGCTGTTGTGTTCTGAGCACCTCTGCAAAAACAGTGATTATGTGTGAGTGAGGTGAAAGTGTTGAATGATGATGAAAGTATTTTCTTTTTGGGGATTTTCTTTCTTTTTGGGTCACCCTGCCTTGGTGGGAGATGGCCGACTTGTTAAAAAAAAAAAAAAAAAAAAAAAAAAAAAAAACTATGAAATATTAAATGACCAACAGAGCTAGGCCTAAATAATACATTTACAGTACACACATTACTTACCTTAAAATATTTTCATCCTTAGCTTATAGTGAGTGGTGAACATATTTACTGTAGGAAGTTGGAATAAATGAAGAATGGGTATAATGGAAAACGGCTGCATTAGCAAAATGCTGTAAAATGAAGTGCTGTAAATCAGGGCCCTCCTCTACAAGAAATCATTCTCCTTCCTTTCTGTAGCTTCATACATTAGGTACCTTTTAGCTCTTCTTGAACTGGCTCATGCTAGGACAGGCTTTGACATGTGCAGGCAATCCATTCCACTCTTTTATTGCTGTATAATAAAAGGTGTTTGAGGCCTGACTTGGCTTAGTTGGCAACACTCTCAGTTTACTGAGTGTCCATGGTTTGATCCTTGGTAAGGGTGGAAATATTGGGAATGTCTCCTTACATCTGCTATCCCTGTTCACCTAGCAGTAAGTACCTGGGTGTTAGTCAAATAGTGTGGGTCACATCCTGGGGGACAAGATTGAGGGACCCCAATGGAAATAAAACAGTCGTTGAAAATGCACTAATTTTCTTGGGTTATCCAGGGTAGCTAACCCTGGATAACCCAACTACTGTGGGTACTACTGGTTTTGGTTCCTAACCTTGACAAACTTGGCAGCAAGATATTCTGGACATTGTTTGTGAGCAATTTTATAAACATGATTTAACTTTATTTACTTTACTCTATCTTCAACATTTAGCTTATCCAGTTGTCACAATTTATCTTGGCTTACATATTCTCTTGGACCCCAACCCAGAATAAATCACACCATTTTGCTCTGGGTGATTTGTAGTGTTTTTTTTTTTTTTTTTTTTTTTTTTGTTAAGGTAGAGTAACATGAAGAAGAGGAATGTATATGACATTGTACAAGAGTTAGACATGGGGTTCTGCGAGCCTTAGTGAGCAGACACTGTGCCTGTCTATAGAGGAATATTAGCCTGACATTTGTTATTTTACTACTACATTATTCCCTATCAATTCATCTGACATTCTTGGGTCAAAGGAAATTTCCAGATATTTCACCGAGAATAGTGAACTGATAGTTCCCCATTACACTGAATATTAAAAGTATTTACCCTTTTCAGTTTATTTGTTGTGCCCCCCAAGAATATGGCTTCTGTTTTCCCGAGGTGTAGCATGGGGAAAAGGGCAAAATAACCAAATTGGAAATAAGGCACACTAATTAGATTTATTGAATTATTCCCAGTTAATAACCATCCAAGTTAATAATCAGAATAAAATCTTCTCACCTTCTTTCACAGCCAGAATCAATATTCCTAGTCACCATACTTTAACGAAAAGCCTTTCCTTCTTTCACTGCTAGTATTTATATCCTCTCAATACTAGCTACTAAAATAAAAACTTTTAATTAACTTTCGGTATCACAACGAATGTGTAAGCGAACATTTGTTCTCAAGTATTTAACTAGTTTTAAAAGAAATTTACTGACATTCATTATTCGTTTTTACATAAACAGAAATTTCTCTCACAGGAATAATGAATCGGCTTTCGAAATACCTTTTTCTTCATCATCAGCCTGGGAAGTATATGCGAGTAAATAAGGGTATGGTTGGTGCAGTGTCACGAGGCAGGTTGTAGGAGTGTCTGGTGTTAACCCTCCCCCGTCTACTGTTTACACTTAATGCCAGGGGATACAACCTCCCAGTTGTCTCAAATTTCTTTATAAATGCTTTTAATTTTAAATAAGAGTATCATTATATATAATATTATATATATATTATATATATATATATATATATATATATATAATATATATATATATATATATATATAATATATATATATATATATATATATATATATATATATATATATATATATATATATATATATATATATATATATATATATATATATATATATATATATAATAAATATAATATATATATATATATATATTATATATATATATATATATATAATATATATATATATATATATATATATATATATATATATATATATATATATATATATATATATATATATATATATATATATATATATATATATATATATATATATATATATATATATATAATATATATATATATATATGTCGTGCCGAATATGTAAAACTGGTCAATTAGCAAGAACTCATTTAAAATTAAGTCCTTTCTAAAAATTTATCTTATACATTTAAAGATATATTTTTTTCATTAATGTTAATGTAAAACTTTTTAATTTTGCACCAAAAGAATCTTAGAAAACTTACCTAACCTTATTATACCAAGAACAATTTACTTTAGCCTAACCTAACTAAAAATATTTTAGATTTGTTTACAATAATTTAATACTAAACAAACACAATGAAATATACATTTTTCGTTAGGTTCAGAATGATTTTGGCGAAATTACTGCATACACAACGAGACTTGACTCACGAAATCCTAATGACACGATTGCAAACAAACCATACCCCGGCTGGGATTGAACCCGCGGTCATAGAGTCTCAAAACTCCAGCCCGTCGTGTTAGCCACTAGACCAGCTAGCCACAATAAGATTCGTCCAACTAGGTATATTTCTACACCATAGGAAGGTTAGCACAGGCACCACTGTGACCACAAATGCAAGTTTTTACAGGCGAATCTCCAGCTAGCGTGGCCGTGACGAACTATAGCTCAAGTCCCTTCACTGCCGTCAACCTAGTTGGACGAATCTTATTGTGGCTAGCTGGTCTAGTGGCAAACGCGACGGGCTGGAGTTTTGAGACTCTCTGACCGCGGGTTCAATCCCAGCCGGGTTATGGTTTGACTGCATACACAAATTTTCACTTGTCCTATATGGCAAGATGAGCGTTGCTATTTAAGCCAAGATCGCAAGTTCTGCCTATTCGGCACGACATATATATATATATATATATATATATATATATATATATATATATATATATATATATATATATATATATATATATATATATATATATATATATATATATATTTATATATTATTTATTTATTTATTTAAAAATTTGAGCACACATACAGAGGTACAACAAATACAGGTAAGAGCAGTATGCTCTTACCAAAAAAGATAAAACATTCTTTTCTAAAGCTGGTGTAAATTGTGGGACCCATAGCCTCGGAGAAGTTGATAAAAAGGCTTCAAGGAAGAATATTTGGATTTCTTCCTGAAGCCATTTGAATATTCCACTTCCCCTACCACCACATCTTTTCATTCCTTTTTACCAATAGGTATATTTTATTACATAATATGGTACAAAAGATTTAAGAGACACATTGTTGATATAAAGATGGCATATACAGTACATGAGGTGTGAGAGATACATGTCTAGTACATATTGTGACGTGTTTGTCACTGATTATAATGTGAAAATCTCATCCAGCTCCTCAGAGCTGGGACGCGTGCCCAAAATACAGCAGGCATTACCCCTCTGAACAGCAGCGCTGAGTCACTGGAACAGAAAACTAGCTGCCCTGGGATCCCTAGTTACCCTGATGAGTCTTTTGCCTAGTTCCTTAAGGAACTCAGATGCACTCTTTCCCCATGAGCCAAGGGAACAAACATAAAATGATGGGCAAGTTCTCCATATTTTCTAGACTTTGGGGACTCCCTGAAGCTGGTGACTGCCCCCCCCCCTTCCTTCCTGGTGTATTACCTGGAGTTTACCTGAAGAGAGTTCCGGGGGTCAACGCCCCCGCGGCCCGGTCTGTGACCAGGCCTCCTGGTGGATCAGAGCCTGATCAACCTGTGTGCTGGCTGCACACAATCCAACGTACGAGCCACAGCCCAGCTGGTCAGGTACCGACTTTAGGTGCTTGTCCAGTGCTTGCTTGAAGACAGTCAGGGGTCTATTGGTAATCCCTCTTATGTATGCTGGGAGGCAGTTGAACAGTCTCGGGCCCCTAGCACTTATTGTACTGTCTCTTAACGTGCTAGTGACACCCTTGCTTTTCATTGGGGGAACGTTGCATCGTCTGCCGAGTCTTTTGCTTTCGTTGTGAGTGATTTTCGTGTGCAATTTAGGTACTAATCCCTCTAGAATTTTCCAGGTACATATAATCATGTATCTCTCCCGCCTGCATTCCAAGGAGTACAGGTTCATGAACTTCAAGCGCTCACAGTAATTGAGGTGTTTTATCTCCGTTACGCTCGCAGTGAAGGTTCTCTGTACTTTTTCTAGTTCAGCAATTTCACCTGCCTTGAAAGGTGAAAGCTGGAGTGTGATCAAATTAATGAATTTAGCAACAACTCATTCAGAAATGTTCAAGAAATGGCAAAGTATTTTATCCACAGTGCTATATTACAGACCATTCTGGAGAAATACCCTGACTTTGCTAGCTGTAAATAATGCATTACCATGTGTGTGTGTGTGTGTGTGTGCGTGTGTGTGTGTGTGTATTCACCTAATTGTACTCACCTAATTGTGGTTGCAGGGGTCGAGACTCAGCTCCTGGCCCCGCCTCTTCACTGATCGCTACTGGATCCTCTCTCTCTCTGCTTCCTGAGCTTTGTCATACCTCTTCTTAAAACTATGTATGGTTCCTGCCTCCACTACTTTACTTGCTAGGCTATTCCACTTGCTGACAACTCTATGACTGAAGAAATACTTCCTAACGTCCCTGTGACTCGTCTGAGTCTTCAGCTTCCAGTTGTGACCCCTTGTCCCTGTGTCCCCTCTCTGGAACATCCTATCTCTGTCCACCTTGTCTATTCCCCGCAGTATCTTGTATGTCGTTATCATGTCTCCCCTGACCCTTCTGTCCTCCAGTGTCGTCAGTCCGATTTCCCTTAACCTTTCCTCGTACGACATTCCTTGAGCTCTGGGACTAGCCTTGTTGCAAACCTTTGTACTTTCTCTAACTTCTTGACGTGCTTGACCAGGTGTGGGTTCCAGACTGGGGCTGCATACTCCAGTATGGGCCTAACATACACAGTGTACAGTGTCTTGAACGATTCCTTATTAAGGTATCGGAACGCTATTCTCAGGTTTGCCAGGCGCCCGTATGCTGCAGCGGTTATTTGGTTGATGTGTGCCTCCGGTGATGTGCTCGGTGTTATGGTCACCCCAAGGTCTTTCTCCTGAGTGAGGTCTGTAGTCTTTGTCCACCTAGCCTATACTCTGTCTGCGGTCTTCTTTGCCCCTCCCCAATCTTCATGACTTTGCATTTGGCTGGATTGAATTCGAGAAGCCAGTTACTGGACCACATGTCCAGCCTCTCCAGGTCTCTTTGCAGTCCTGCCTCATCCTCGTCCGATTTAATTCTTCTCATCAACTTCACGTCATCTGCGAACAGGGACACTTCAGAGTCTATTCCTTCCATCATGTCGTTCACATATATCAAAAATAGCACTGGTCCTAGAACTGACCCCTGTGGGACCCCACTCGTAACAGGCGCCCACTGTGATACCTCTTCACGTACCATGACTCGTTGCTGCCTCCCTGTCAGGTATTCCCTTATCCATTGCAGTGCCCTTCCTTTTACGTGTGCCTGATCCTCCAGCTTCTGCACTAATCTCTTGTGGGGAACTGTGTCAAAGGCCTTCCTGCAGTCTAGGAAAACGCAATCTACCCAACCCTCTCTCATGTCTTACTTCTGTTACCTTGTCATAAAACTCCAGGAGGTTTGTGATACAAGATTTGCCTTCCATGAACCCATGCTGGTTTTCATTTATAATCTTGTTCCTTTCCAGGTGTTCGACCACTCTCCTCCTGATAATCTTCTCCATGACTTTGCACACAATAAATGTCAGAGACACAGGTCTGTAGTTTAGTGCCTCGTTTCTGTTTCCTTTCTTAAATATGGGGACTACATTAGCTGTCTTCCATTTCTCAGGTAGTTGCCCAGTTTCAAGGGATGTGTTGAAGATTGTGGTTAGAGGCACACACAGCATCTCTGCTCCTTCTCTAAGGACCCATGGGGAGATGTTGTCCGGTCCCATCGCCTTTGAGGTGTCAAGGTCACTTAAGAGCTTCTTCACCTCCTCCTCAGTTGTTCGTATGTCATCCAACACTTGTTGGTATATTCCCTCTTGATGTTCCCTTCTGTTCTGTCTTCCCACAGCCCTTCCTGTCTCTACTGTAAAAACTTCCTTAAATCTCCTGTTCAGCTCCTCACATACGTCCTGATCATTTCTTGTGAGTTCTCCACCTTCTGTCCTTAATCTGATCACCTGGTCTTTGACTGTTGTCTTCCTCCTGATGTGGCTATACAACAGTTTCGGGTCTGTCTTGATTCTCGATGCTATGTCATTTTCATACTGTCGCTGGGCCTCCCTCCTTACCTGTGCGTACTCATTCCTGGCTCTGCGACTGATCTCCCTATTTTCGTGTGTTCTCTGCCTTCTGTACTTTTTCCATTCTCTATTGCACTTTGTTTTTGCCTCCTTACACCGTCGGGTGAACCAGGGGCTTGTTCTGGTCTTCCCGTTGTGTGTGTGGTGTGTGTGTGTGTACTCACCTATTTGTGGTAGCAGGGGTCGAGTCTTAGCTCCTGGCCCTGCCTCTTCACCGGTTGCTACTGGGCCCTCCCTCTCCCTGCTCCATGAGCTTTATCAAACCTCGTCTTAAAACTGTGTATGGTTCCTGCCTCCACTACGTCATTTTCTAGGCTATTCCACTGCCTTACAACTCTATGACTGAAGAAATACTTCCTAATATCT